GTTACTATTCTGCAAAAATATTTGTCCTGTACTTTGTCTTGCACCTTTGAAAGAAAAAAAACATATAGCTTTTCCATTTTTTTGGAATAGTGTGCTATGACTTTCACTAGTGTAATGTGGCAATCTGATCTGGCCCCGCACCCTATCCGGATCCACTCATTAAGTGGCCCGGATCCATTTTGGATCCATTCGTAGAACACATCATCCGGCCCGGATCCGGTTTTGACCCATTTATGATACTCATATCGGAGGTGGCCTCATTTGGTTCAGAACCTTTATTTATCATGATTTAATTAACAAAAGTAGATACAGATAAAACTTGGCTTACCAGCTACACAAGACTTCTTAAAAATCCCACCAGTTTAATCTTAAACACATGGAAATGATTTGTGAAGCTGCAAAAGACTAAACTTGGGTTATTCTGAATAAATTTAGTTTTGAGGCGGCACAGTGGTGCAGGTGGTTGAACTGTTGCAGGTGTTAGAATCCCAGCCAGTGGTCTTTCTGCATGTGGTTTGCATGTTGAATGAATGTTCTCCCTGTAAACTGTAAACACAAATAAGTTTCCAGAACTCAAACATTTTGAGGCAATCAATTGCCACAAAATGTTTGAGTTGAGTTTTTTTTTTCTTTCAAAACTTAAATTTCGTTTAATGCTACTTCTACATTTTGATTCCATCCATCCATCCATTGACTCCATCCATCCATCCATTGACTCCATCCATCCATCCATCCATTGACTCCATCCATCCATTGACTCCATCCATCCATCCATCCATTGACTCCATCCATCCATCCATCCATTGACTCCATCCATCCATCCATCCATCCATTATCTCCATCCATCCATCCATCCATCCATCCATCCATCCATCCATCCATCCATCCATCCATCCATCCATCCATCCATCCATTATCTCCATCCATCCATCCATCCATCCATCCATCCATTATCTTTACCCGCTTATTCCATTTTGGGTCATGGGGGTCGCCGGTGCCCACATCCAACATTCACTATGCAAGGGGTGAGGTACACCCTGAACAGGTAGGGACACATAGAGACAACCATTCACTCTCTCACTCACACCTAGGGACAATTTAGAGTTACTAATCAGCCTAACATGCATGTTTTTGGTCTGTGGGAGGAAACTGGAGTACCCGGAGAAAACCCACACATGCACAGAGAGAACATGCAAACCCCACCCAGAAAGGCCCCTGGGCCAGGATTGTGACTATCAGAGTCTTTTGTTGCTCATATATAGTTTTAGATTTTTTTTTAAATAATCTGACTTAATTTTTACACAGCAACTTTTGGTTTACGTCAATCTTATTTTCGACCTGGATTTCTTTCTGCCAATTATTATCTTAGAAGTCAGGGAGTGAGAGACACAGGTGTGTGGTTACCATGGTCTTTGACAGAAGTTTAACATTTCTCTGATTTGGGGTCTACTTGTGCACTTTAGACAGCAAAATGCAAACATTTTATTTCAGCTTAGATTATTACAAAGCATGTTGGAATTTCGGGTAGTATTTATAAATCTTTATTTAACCAGGCAAATCCCACTGAGATTACGGATCTAATTTACAAGGGAGGCCTGGGCCTGACGGCAGCCTAACATGCATGTTTTTGGTCTGTTGAAGGAAACCGGAGTATCCGGAGAAAACCCACGCAGGCACAAGAAGAACCCTCCACACAGAAAGACCCCAAGTTCAACCGGGAATTGAACCCAGGACCTTCTTGCTGTGAGGCAACAGTGCTAACCACTGATCCATCGTGCTGCCACTGTAGCTGTATTGGTGTCTTTCAAAAAAAAATTCAGGAACTTTAATGTATTTATTTATTATTTTCTCCAGACCTTACATGTATGGGCAGACAGCTTAACTTTATACTGACATGCATTTCAATTATTTAAAAAAATTACCAACATAGAAGAGCACCAGCTGTTAAATATTCTTTTATTTATTTATTTTTTTGCATTTGCTCATCTCATTCTACTTACTTACCGTCCTCAGCACCACTGGAGTGTGTTAACTGTAAACTGGGCTGAATTGTGGAAAAAGCTGCAGCTTTTAAACGCTTGCTAACATGACTCCAAAAGGAAAAAACGTTAAAAAATTAATGTTTGACTTTTCCAGAAAGAGCTTCTCAAACCTTGAAACAAGAGCCATCTGTCATATATCATTCCAAGTAGGAGGTTATCTGTGAGCACATGCACATCTTATATTTACAGAAGTTGTGAGTACAACATGCATACATGCATAAATTGATGTGACTGTGCGTGTGTTCAAAAGTTTGTGTTTGTTGACACAGAAAAAAAGTGAAAATGCCTGAATCGGAGCATAACGGTGTGTTTGTGTGTTGTTCCACATCAGGCTCATCGCCCATCACACCTGGTGATGGTCACACAGCCGAATGAGCGACTGGCGCAACCTTACTGAACGCTGCATTTGAAGATGATGCAACTCGATGGCTGATCCTGGTTCAGTTTTAGGAGAAGTAAATCCATTATTCTTTCATTTTTCTTTGTTAAAGCTCGTGGCCTGTCACGCCGCACGACAGACTCAAGCTTAAACGGAGAACATGAGAAGACGAGCAAAAGTGGAGAAGCAACATGATAAATGACAGAAGATAGAATCATCTGGATACAAACTGAAAGCAGTGACGGGTCAGAGATCAGACATGACACCAGGCGGTGAGACGGACAATATGACAGAGTGATGAGAAACAGTAAATCATCAGTATGAGTAGACTGAGAGTGGTGACAGCTGAGACTAATGAATACAAGGAGCAGGTGTGAGTAATAAGGGCAAGAATGAAAGCAACGTACAGTCGTCACTGTGAGACACAGAAAAAAACCATAATACAAGGAAACAAAACAAATCACAGAAATGTGTCCAAAAGTAAACACATACAGAATCAAAATCAAAACAACAACCAAAAAAAAAAAAACATTGATTTTGACAGAAATTAGAGACTCAAGGTTCCAGATTTACCATTTATTAAAATACAAAGTTATTTAATGTTGCAAAGTGCTGGAAAATATTTCAAAGAATACAACAACCACCTGTACTGTACATCTATTTCACTAAGATGTTAAAAAAAAACACACACACACACTAGAAATAAAGCCCCTAAAATAGTTTGTTCATTTAAAGGCTGAAAGTGCCACTTGACTAAAGTTTTAACCCATCTACAAATCAAAAAGTGGAAGAAAAAAAAATCCATTTCCCTGGCTACACGTCTATATTTATTTCTATTATTTAACCCAACTCTTTGTCACATGAACAGTACAATAGCACTTCCTGCTGACAAACTTGAGGCGTCACAGATTTCTGCAGCAAAGACATAAAGGATTCACAGCTTCAAAGATGACACTTGGCTAAATAACCCACAACAGGCATGTGAATATTACAGTTTTTATCTTATATCACCTTTATTATATACAAAATGTCCTTCATGGCATCAGCACACTTTGGCAGTCACTTCTTACACCATGCCTCACTAAAAAAGCAGCAGGAGCATCCTTTGATGTGCATCATTTCAATAGAGTCATCAACAAAATAATTACTATTCATCAGCAAATCTGTTATGACTTAATACAATTTCAAATATATAATAACTTTATGTGCAATATCTTGCATAGTGAAGTCAAGCTCAGAGAACATATTGTGAATGACTCTCAGCGGCTAACATATTAGAGTCAGAGGTTTTATTGTCATTTCAACTATGTACAAGTACATGCTGAAATGAAACAGCATTCCTCCAGAATATCAAATTTTAGGTGTACCGTATTTTATGCCGTAAACGTGGCTCCGCCGTATAAGTTGCATCAGTCCAAAAAAGTTTAATAAAGTGGAAATAACATAAAAAATGAACTTGGTCATATAAGTCACATTTATTATGAGTCACTGCTAATGACCCGGACACGTGGGCCGGTGTTGTGCCAAAAATCGATTGGCTGGAGGCGTGCACGGGAGGATTTTAACAGGAATTTAACAAGATTAACACTTAAAAACAATTATTTGTTTGCTCGAAATTATAGTAAAGGTGTGCCTCAGTTTACTTGTCCTTAATAAATGCACTCTAATGGTCAAAACAGCTTCATTTTGTCAAAATGGGCTTATAAATAATGGGAAAAAACATATTAGTCGCTTCGATGTATAAGTCGCAGGACTTGCAAATTATACAAAAAGGTGCAATTTATACGCTGGAAAATACGGTAGTTATTATATGTATGTTTGCTTTCTACAAGTTTCCCCAAAATTCCAGTATATGAGAGGTTTTGGTAACAGAAGTGAACACAGACACAGACACAGGTGAAAACATCACTTTGGCAGCGGGTGATAATGAATGTGTCAAGATTTTAGAATAAATTTTGAATTTTGACTTAACAGTTCATTCTGAATCATACATTTGTGAAGCTCTTATAATAATGTTTATTATGAATCAATGTTATCTGAAAACACATATGTTTTAGTTAAATTTAGTTTTTATTTTATTTTACTCTTGCATACTGGTTGTTTGACGTTTGCTCAAAGACTTGGAATTAAAACTTAAAAAAAAAATTAAAAAGAATTAAAACTTGTGTTTTAATTAAAGAATAAGTCTTTAATTTAAATGCATACATTTAGTGACACACTAAACAATTTAGCTCTGAAAAGAAGGGGAAAACGTAAATAACAATAAACACACAAAAAGTCACAGGCAAAAAAAAAAAAAAAAGATTGACCCTTTGCCTTTGATGACAGCGATGATATGAAGAGCTGTAGGTTGTACGAGTATCAGAAAATGAGAAATTCATTAAAAATGTGAAAACCTACATACTGTAATCAGTTTAAAAAGGGCTAAATGTGGGTTTAGATTTTATTTAAACACAAAAAGATAAAATCAGAATGAGGACTGCAGTGTTTTTTACATTAAGTGATTTTAACATTTTTTTCATATTTGTCCGATTTCTTTGATCTCATTAAGTTCAAATTCTCCACAAATCTATAACATGTCTAAACACAAAGGCGTAGCCTATTTAAAGCAATACATTTACACAGCTTATAAATTTTCTCCCTTTTCTCTCCCTCGATTGTAAAACAAATAAAAAAAAAAACCAATGAAGTATACTCCTACTCTACCTTTTTAATTGCTCGGCTGCTTGTTCAAGTAGCACTTTACTTGCTTTGCCTGCCAGATCTTACTTGGTATCAAGCTTAAACTCGTTGAACTTGGTGATCTTTCCATCACAAGTCACCACCTCTTTCTGCTCCCATCTATCACACTTCCCATCTCTCGCCTCAAAGCTTCGGACCATCACCCTCCCAGTGGTTGGCAGGTTGAACGGAAGGTCCTTAGTAATTTCTTGGTGCAACCTCATTTTCATGACTTCACTGGTGAGATCTGCGTTACCAACCGGGACCAGTTCCTGTTTTTTTTTTCTGTCTTCTGCTCTCTCGGCAGCAGCAGAAATGGGCACTCTAATCTGGCGACTCACATTTTTTATTTCTGGTCTAGGTTTGCTCTCCTTATTCTGCAATGGTGAAGATGTGTTTATGTTACCAGGTGATGGATCTCTATTCCTTACTAACTGATCCCTGGCCAGCAGATTTGCACCTCCATTGATTGGTGATGGGGACTGCTCTCTATTAGTTATATAAGTTGCAGGTGGCTTCATGAGTTCCCTTTGAATAGGGGTGTCTGTGACAAATCCTGCTCCTCCGGCTCTTCGTATTTCACTCATAATTCCGGCCATGGAGGCCCTCACAGACGGGTTTGGCTCCACCATCCTACACACAGCTTTACAATATGGCTGATCCTTCAGCGTCTCCTTGATCTTTTCAGGACAGACGCACGTTGTTGGAAGCCGCACCCGAGCACAGAGCTCAGCAATGATTTTCCCCATGGCCCAGACATCAGAGCTGTGATTCCTTTGAGCGACCCTTTGCAGAATCTCGGGGGCAGCGTAAGCAGGGTTCCCATCATCTACTGCAGAGTTTAACCCATGTCTGAAAAACTTAGCCAGTCCCAGGTCAATGATTACAGCTCTGTTTGTGGTATGTTCCACCTGAAGGAAAATTAAAAAAACTATTTAACAAACCTCAGTTAAAAAAAAAAAAAAAAAAGATTATTTTTACACTGTGCCTCATTCGTTGTTGAACTAAGACAGAAAACTAACAGACGTCGTAAAGTTCTAAACAGCATTCAAGATATTCAGGTATCATTTAATTTTAATTTCAAACTTTGTCAGGTAAAGAGGGAAAAATGCACATTTCTCAAATAGAATCTTTCACAAAAAATAAAACAGGCAAAACTAAAAAATAAATAAAAATCCCATCTAGTATTTGGTTAAAGGCTTTGAGACTCTAATGAAGCTTTAATTTTATTATTATTATAAGGCCTAATTACTCTACTGCCCTTTTCTGGCTCAAATCAGAAACCTTTCAGCCACAAGCTGCTCAAAAGAGAATCCTTTCTGTGTTTTTTAATAAACATTTGAAGATTTTACATTTGTTAACACTAGTTTAGCTAATAACTTGCTGGATTCAATACTACTGATTCATCTGTTTCTCATCTTGCTGAGTTTTAATGAAAATATTCATAAATTCTAGAGTTTCAGAGGTATTTCATAGTTTTATTGTCAGGTAAAACACCTGGCAATGAGATTTTGGAAAAAAATAACAACTCCATAAATATTGTAATTTTTTTTAAACATTATTACAGTTATATAATCTACATTTCAGTAGGCTTCAAAACAAAGCCCAAACCTTTTGTGAATTCTACTGTATTTCTTGTCATTTACAATTAAAAAAAAAAAAATGTGCGTTTAAACTTTTGAACTCACCATGATGTTGTCAGGCTTGAGGTCCTGATGAACGATGTCTTTGCTGTGAAGGTGACGCAGTCCGTCACACATGCCGATAATGATTGTAGCTTTATTTGAAGGAGTCAACTGTAAGAAAAAAACAAAGCACAAAGAGATTAAAACATTAGGCTATGTGGTTGAACAGGTTTTTATAAACGGTTTCTCTCTAAATACAAAGTAAATGAAACGAGTAAATTTCCTTATATGTAATTAGGTGATTCCAGTAAAGCACCCATGATTCTTTAAAACAGGGTTATTCAACTAAACTGCTCAGGGGGGCACAGTTACTGAAAGCCAGCAGGTCAGGGGCCGAACATCCAGCAAATAGAGTTATTATGAAAATAAACCAATTATTAAAATGATCTGTTACCTTTGAAATTTGTTTATTTTTGTTGCATTGAATCTTAAATGCAAAAAACAAAACCAAAACCCAGAATCCTCCCCAAAATAATATGTATATATATATATATATATATATATATATATATATATATATATATATTATTATTATTATTGTTTTTATTTTTTTTATGAACTCTGTTGGACCGAACTGAAGTCACGCGTGGGCCGATAGTGGCCTGCAGGCCACTAATTGAATAGCTTTGCCTTAAAACCTTAACCCGTTATGACCTGATGCAGGAAGTCTGTACTTTAACACAAGATCTGAAGCAACAAACGTCTCAAACAATAATAGGCCTGTCGCAATAACAAATTTTGCTGGGCAATTGTCTCAGAAATTATTGTGATAAAGGATAATATTGTTTGAAATTTGACAATAATTAGTAATTATTGTCAAATTTAAGAAGAAATGTGGGTTCATTTTTGTATGTAGTGTCTTTTTTGACCACTGGACGGCAGTATAAGACAGTTTGAACCTAAGGATGGATAGTGAGGGAGCGAGCAGCGTGTCACTTTAAGAAAAATGGGAGGGAGGCCCCTTGATGTGACATGGGCTGTCTCTCCTTTCTGTTTTTTGTTCTCAAAATGGCGGACGCTCTGTGTGGTTTGAGCTCTTTAGCATAGCATTTGTCACACAAAGCTTTTAATTAAAAAAAAAAAATCAGTAAACAAGTTCTCAGCTTCTTTTTGCAGAGATAAACAACTTTTTAGACGAAGGCACGGGTTTCAACCGTGAATTTTGGAGCTTCGACAAGATGGATGTTTTTCCCCGAGGTCGGCCTGTTAGCTTACCTTGTAGCTTAGCTTCTCAGCTTAGCTGCTTTTAACGATCCAAAAATAGGATTTTGGATGATTAAAATGGATTTTAAAGAGAAAAAAGAAAGGGAGGGGTCAGTGAAGAACACCAGAGTTGAGCCTTTTGTCATCCGGTGTCTTCAGTGGAAAAAGAGAGTCATGAAGAAACGATAAAGCCGGTAAATGAAAATGAGGTCGATAATTTTCATGTATCGTGAGTTTAATTGATTTATTGTTTATCGCAACAGGCCTACACTAGCTCTTCTTATAATCTTAAAATCTTAATAATATTTATGCTGGCAGCATGAGTAATTTATAACAAAAGCAGAAACTGTCAAAGTTTTTTTTGTTTCTCTTTTTAGAGGACGGTAAAAACCGAAACCATGTTTTAAAGAAAATCTTTAGGTTTTCCAGTAAATTTTAGGATGACCTTTATTCATAATGGGTTTGGGGATGGTCAAGCTAAGAAAAGTAGTTTTTTATGGTATAAAAATGTGTAAATCAACTGTATAAAACAGTTAGGCAATCACATTTTTCCCTTTTTCATAGTAACCTTACATTTATCTTGGATTTTGATGCTTTGAAAATTGTTGTCTCCAAATCTTCTCCAAAGATAAACTCTAGTGGAATAATCCATTTCCCGTCTTTGACAGACACTTTACCCAGAAGCTTCACAATGTTGGGATGTTCTGCCTTCCTGCAGATGACAATAAAAATAAAAAATAAACTGTAATGTTATTTTTCATGAAACCATTTTAATTATGTGACAATAAAAATTTCAGTTAATGTTTAGGTTAAATTTGACTCCAGTCACACACATTTCATATTACACATTTTCTAAAACCGGCACAATATTTGTTTGATTTCTTTTCTGATATTTGGATTCCAGTGCTTCATAGCAGAACTAGTAAGAGTTGTTAAGCAATACTATAATTTCTACAAGCAGTGTATCAAAAACTATATAGAAACCATAAACAACTATGAAGCCTTAGCATGTACATCGTATTGCTCTTTCCTTTAATAGTTTTTCACAAACTTATATTGCTTTACTAATATAAATAGTACAAACATGTTTGTTCTCATGAGTATATGTTACCTTTTATGACAAATAAGGCAAATGTATGAAAATCCCCTTAGGCCGTAATATATTATTGCTTTCACATGCTGTCTGATATCCAACAAACTGATCTACTGAACATAGCAAAATTATATTTAGATTACCAGTTCCTTTTTTTATATGCAATTAAAAACTACTAAGTTTGAATCTACTTACAAAGTATAATTTCTTCATATCTTGGTTCAGGGGAGCCTCACATTCTTGTAATTTTAGAATGGTCTTAAACACAGATATTCAGAATTTCTTTCAGTTATTGTTTGAATTTTGACTACTTTTACACTCATTTTCATTCCACTTCTACTACCTGACTATAAGAGCATATTGCATGTTATAGTGTGCTTAAACTTTATCTATAGTCGCTGAGGAGCGTCAGGAAAAAGAAAAGTTTATTAAAGACATAGGAAAACATCCAGCAAAGATTTTACAAAGGACCCAAAAGATACATGCAGCTGATCTTTACTTGTTTCCCTCATTTTCAGCTATTAGATAATTGAGAATGCCCTCATGAGTAAGGACAGTGTGACCTGGATGGGCGTGATTGGGAGGAATGTCCTCTCTGATCTAAACCTGAGCGGTGTTCTGTTGTTTGACTTTTGTTCTACTCATGGTTTGTCCATCACAAACACCATGTTCGAACATAAGGGTGTCCATAAGTGCACTTGGAAACAGGATGTAAATCGATGATTGAATTTGTAGTCCTGTCATTTGATTTGTGGCCATTTGTTTAGGACACTCCGGTGAAGAGAGGATTTTAGCAGTCAACTGATCACCACCTGGTAGTGTGTTGGATCAGATGATGGGGGAAGATGATAGACAGTCCTGGTAGAATCAAAGATGATGCGGAAAAGGGTGGATTGCTGTCTTGGGGTCAATGATGAGGTTCTGCTGCTTCAAGTGGAAACGTTTAAGTATCGTGGGGTTTTATTCCCGTGTGAGGGAAGAATGGAGCGTGAGACTGAAGGACAGATTGATGGGGCCTCTGCAGTATTGCAGACTCTGTGTCGGTCCGTTGTGGTGAAGAGGGAGCTGAGCTATAAAGTGAAATTCTCTGTTCACCGGTCAGTCTATTTCCTACCCTCACATGTGGCCACAAACTCTGGGTAGTGGCCAAAAGAATGAGATATCAGATAGAGGTGGTTGAAATGCTTCCTCCGTAGGGTAACTGGACTCACCCTTATAGATAGGGTGAGAACAGAAGTTCAGTAATCTGGGAGAGACTTGGAGTAGAACTGCAGCCCCTCCAGATCAAGAGGAACCAGTTGGGGTGGTTCGGTCATCTGGTAAGGATGCTCCCTGGGCGCCTTCCTAGGGAGGTGCTTTGGGCACGTTTGACTGAGAGGAGATGCTGGAGAAGACCCAGGACACACTAGAGAGACTATGACTGGGATTGGCCTGGGAATGCCTTGTTCCTCTCAGAAGAGCTGAAAGAAGTGGTTGTGGAAAGAGATGTCTGGGACCTCCTGCTCAGTCTGCTGCCCCCATGACCCAACTTCGGAACAAACAGAAGATAATGGATAGATGAATGGATGGAAGATAATAGAGAATAATCCTGTTGGTTCTGAAATACTATTTTCTGTCTGTGAGTAAATGTTCTAGTTTTTCACAGATTCAGCTAGGGCCACTAATTATGTCATTATGACAGGTTTCTACAATGTGCCTAACATATTGGAAAATGTTATTTGCCTATTTATATGCCAAGTGGCTTTTATGTATGTGAATGTTTCTGTAAAGTGCCCTGAGATAACTTTGTTGTGATTTGGCGCTATATAAATAAACTGAATTACAATTGAAATTGAAGTACAGACACAACACTGAACCTTTTTGTAGCTACAGTATGAAATTCATTGGTCAGTGTTATTTAACAATAAAAACAACAACTGAAAAATAATCAAAGTTCTAAGAACACAGAAAGACCTTGAAAATGTCTGAAGTAAAGCTTCTTTGCTTTAATATCTGCATATGAGTGAGCTGTTTCCAAGTCAAATACAGTACTTGTGCTTACTTGTACACTTCACATTCTCTTTCCAGGTCCTTCCCATTGATGAGAGTTGTGGGTACTTTTTTTACTGCAGCCCAGGTGTCATTGTACTTCTCCTTGTATACCTTCCCAAAGCAGCCCTGTGCAAGTGTGGCAGTGGAATACGCCATCAAGGAGGCTCTGTTTGTTCTGGAGAGAAAATGCGGGGTCACTTTTAGAGTTAGGTTCAACTAAGATAAAACAAAAGTAATTACAAAAGAAGATTACATGCAAATTACTTGAATTCCACCCTGACTTCTTGGTATTCATGCTCAGGCTTGTGCTGCTTTCCCCATAATTTCCAGTTTTTTCTCAGTGGAATCAGGTCCAAGGCAGAAGTTGCATTCCTGTCCTGGGAGCTGCAACTTTGGGTACTTTTCTTCTATTTTTTTAATGTGCATATTTTACCAGAATTTAACCATAGTAAAGTTTAAAAGGTACAGTACTTTTGTTTCATTAAAACATTATACAAATTTAGTTTGCATATACTTCAACTTCAGTGCTAATAAACTTTAATCAAGTTTAGAAATTGTTGTTGTTTTACTTTCTGCTTCTTCCTTTCTGCAGGGGTTGCCACAGCGAGCAAACTCACACGAAAGATTTGTCTATTGTTTTATGCCAAATGGCCTTGATGATACAAATCTGCAGCCTTGGGATTACAAGACAGTGCCACTGACCACCAAGCTACCACAGACTTGAAGTTTGGAGATTAAGTTTTAAAATACAATTTAAGAGTAGGTAATGAAATGTTGGTCGCTATAAAGTAAACAAATGCAATAAGTTTTATACATGAGTAACTCAGCAAAGAACTGCACCTTATCTTCCTGAAACATTTGACTAAAATCTGAAAACTCTAAGGGATGACAAAATGCTGAATATTATCTTTATCTTTAGATTATCTTTTTTCTTGTGTCACTCAAAAAGTGCGTCACACTTTTTCAACTGAAAGATGACACACCCTTCGAGAGAAAGGTAGGAGTTTCTGATGAAAAACAGAGCGTGCCAAATGCTAATAATCTACGTTAACTTCCTTGTGAATGTGTTGAACTAAAGGGTCATTGTTTTCATTGGTTAATAAACTTAAAATACCCTTTAGTCATATGTTAGGAACTATTGAAAACAATTCCATAGTATTTAGAAGAAATCTAAAAATTAAATGTAAGCAAGCTGCTCATCTGAGTTAATGCACTTTAAATATACCTGGTACACGAAGAACTACTCTGATATAAAGACAGTTTTTTTCAAATATATAAATTTAACATTAAACTGACTTCAGGTCAGCATTTTTCAGCCCAGTTAGCACAGACAGTTGATGATGACAAAAAAACTGACAAACTGGTAAGTGTAGTCAGGACAATTTTCTTTTTAGACCAGCTGTTACAAGTACTATGTGGTTTGTAATAAACAATAGTATTTTTTTTTGTCATGATTACCATAATTTAGTGGCATAAAGAAGTTACTAGTCATAACGTCTTATGTTACAGAAGTTCATAGAAACATATTTAACTGAGGGTTTGTGAACATAAAACATTAATCTCTTTTGTAAGTACTGTACACCTTTGAAGAAATAATGAGCCTTTTACTCGATCCAAATCCAAATATCTTTATGTATTACATAACAGTTTTTCTAAGGAAGCACAATTTTAGTTTGTACATACAAATCTCTTACCTTTTTGATGTTGAAGGAAGGCAGTTCTGTCAGGTGTGAGCAAGAGGTGGCACGGCTGTCCATCTTTATAGCTGCTCCACACCTTTTTTTTTTTGTAATCCTTAGCCCGGAGCAAGAAATAGAAAAAGCAGCCTGGCTGATGAACACCTTGATGTGTGTTTGACTCAGTCAAGTTTGGATATTCCCACTAAGATGGTCTCATGGAAAGTACTGACGGACAAAAAAAACAAAAAAAAAACAACAACAATGTAATGTAAATAATGTAAAACAATTCCCAAACAGTTATTTAATTAAAACATGTTTTAACTGTCTGGGTGCTGTTTCACAAAACCAACAAAAATGATATGAGATTTTTGCTAATTTATTAAAAATAGAAAACTAATAATTCACTTTTATATAAATATTCACAGACTTTGCTTAATACTTGGCCGATCCACTAATTGAAAAAAAAAACAAAAAAAAAAACTGTAGTATGCTTTTTTTATAACTGTTTATTGTTGTTGCTGTTGTCCATTGTTGTCATCTTTCTTTGTTGAAATCAGGTCTCTCTTGTAAATGAGTCCTCGAGGCTCAATGGGATTTACCTGTATAAATAAAGGTTGATTGATAATTACAGCCTCGAGTCTTTTTGAATATGATGCCAAGCTTAGCACACTGATCTTTAGGCAGTTTTTCCTCAATCTTCTTTGCATACTTCTCAAATTCCATCAGGTTGGGTAATGTCTGCTCACAGCCATTTTCAGATATCTCCAGTGATGTTCAATCAGATTCAAGCTTGAACTCTGGCTTGACCTCTCCAGGACGTTAACAGATTGGTCCTGAAGCAACTCCTTTGAGATCTTGGCCATGTGCTTTGGGTCGTTGTCCTGCTGAAAAATGAACCGTCTGCCCAGTCTGAGGTCAACAGCGCTCTGGAGCAGGTTTTCATCCAGGATGTCTCTGTACATTGCTGCATTCATCGCTCCCTCTATCCTGACTAGTCTGCCAGTTCCTGCTGCTGAAAAAACATCCCCATAGCATGATGCTGCCACCACCATGCATGGTGTTGGCCTGGTGATGAGCGGTGCCTGGTTTCCTCCAAACATGAAGCCTGGCATTCACACCAAAGTGTTCAATCTTTGTCTCATAAGACCAAATAATTTTGTTTCTCATGATCTGACAGTCCTTCTGGTGCCTTTTGGTAAACTCTAGACGGGCTGCCTTGTTCCTTTCGAAGTGGTTTTTGACTGGCCACTCTATCACACAGTCCTGATTGGTTGATTGCTGCAGAGATGGTTGTCCTTCTAGAAGGTTCTCCTCTCTCCACAGAGGAATGCTGGAGCTCTGACGGAGTGACCATCAAGTTCTTGGTCACCTCCCTGATGAAGGCCTTTCTCCCCCCACTCACTCAATTTAGATGCCAGCCAGCTTTATAGAGCCCTGGTGGTTCCAAACGTCTTCCATTTTCAAATGATAGAGGTCGCTGGGCTCATTGGGACTTTCATAGCCACAGAAATTTTCCTGTATCCTTCCCCAGATTTGTGCCTCAACACAATCCTGTCTCAGAGGTCTACAAATAATTCCTTTGGCTTCATGCTTGGTGTATGCACTCTGACATGCACTGTCAGCTGTAGGACTTTATATAGACAGATTTGCATCTTTCCAAATCAAGTCCAATCAATTGAATTTACCACAGGTGGACTCAATTTAAATTGTAGAAACATCTCAAGGATGATCAGTGGAAACATTTCAGCTCAAGTTTGATCAAAGGCTGTGAATACTAAATGTGATTTTTGTTTTTGTTTTGTTGTTTTCTGCCCTGTCATGCCCTGATCTCAAGCCTTGCCTTCCAGCCACACCTACTCTGCACCTCTCCCTAATCAAGCTCATGCCACACACCTGTGCCCTGCTCTACTTAAGAGCCCTTGCCACCCTTACTTTCTGCCAGATTATCAAACCCGTTGTGGAAGTAGATGTCCAGCGTTCAAGTCACAGCTCTCTCTGATCATCTTGTCTTGACCCCATGCCTATCCTTTATATGACCGACCTGCCTGCCCCTTCCCTGTCACCCTGCCCAGCTCCTTCAGGTGATGTTCCTCTTACTCGCATAAGAGGATCTAACCTCCACCAGCAGCTATTTTCTAAATAACTTTTAAACCATTCCTGTTCACTGTTTTGCTTGAATCCAAAAATCAATGTCTGTTTTTAAATGATTTACAAAAAACTAAAATATTCTATTTCATATAGGCTTCGCCCTTTAAGGCCTTTTCTATTGGGTTTATCCCGTCATGCAAAGCATATCACTGAAAAGCTTAGTCCACACCCACCTGTTGTGTGGGCCCCACCCAGTCCGTATAAATTACGTTAAGAGTGGGTAATCGGCTCCCATTTTTCTTCAGTGAGTGATTAGCACTGACCTTCAACATTGAGATATCTAGCACCAACACCATTCGCCTGTCTCCGTCCTGCAAGACCGGCCATCTCTTCCTGTCATGAAGGTTTTGGGGACAGAACAGCTTTTAATCATCCGCTGATGAAGCGTTTTTTAAAAGGTGTACAGAGACGCATGCCTGTTTCACGCCCACTTGCTCCACAGTGGGATTTAATGCTGCTTCTGTGAGCCATGATCAAAGCTCCATTTGAGCCACTGAATCAGGTTCCAATTAAATTCTTGTCTCTTAAAACAGCCCTGCTGTTGTTTTTAACATGCGCTAAGAGGGTGAGTGATTTATCTGCCCTCTCTGTCGCTCTGTCATGTCTCAGAATTCAGGCTGACGGCAGCTCAGCTGATCTGAGACCTAACCCAGCGTTTATGCCTAAAAACATCACGAGCTCTTTTAAATCAAGAGTGATATCGTTGGAGGGGTTTCTCCACCCCCCCACCCCCCCCCCCACAAATCAGAAGAAGAAGCATCTTTCCATCTTCTCTGTCCTGTGCGTGCGTTGACGTTCTACATAGCATGCACGGCCGCACTGCGTCAGACTCAACATTTGTTTGTGCATTATAGAGATGCATCTGCAGGTTGCCCGTTATCCACCCAGCGCCTGTCACACTGGCTGTGTGAGGCCATTTCTGAAGCCTACAGAGCATCAGATTTAGAGTCTCCTGATAACTTCAGGGCACGCTCGACCAGAGGTATTGTATCTTCGACTGCTTTGCATAATGGTATGACAATGCAGGATATTTGCACTGCGGCCCCGTGGTCAACACCCTGTTCATTTATTCGCTTTTATTTACGTGATGTGTCGACTCGTTCCATGACGCATTCTGTCCTTAGTGCCTTTACAGAATAAATATTATTGTTTCATGGAATCTCGTTTAAACTCACATCTGACTGCATGCATTACAGTGTGAGATGTTGTTATCCGTCACAAGTTGTGACTATCGTTCTTGTTCTATTGTCACTTATCAGTTCATGACTATTGTTACCAATCAGTTAATTTGATTAATAATCAGTTCACTTGTTATTATTAATCTGTTCATATTGATCAACCGTGGATCTGCTTGGTTCACGGCCTTTTTCAGCCTCTTCCTTTTCCCCGTTGAAAACTTTTCCGGGGCGTTCATGCACCCAGAACGCATAACTACGCAGCACGCATCTGTGCATGGTACGCGTAATTACGCAACACGCAATTACGCACATGGAGAGCTGAGTGACAAGACATTTTTTGGGCAAGCTGGCGCTTCATATGGTGTTCGAATGGATCCAGTGAGACGAGGACTACATCATGCTTCGCCTTTTAACCCAATAGTGAAGGCCTTAAAGGGCGAAGCCTATACGAAATAGAACTTTGGTTACGTACTGTAACCCCAGATTCTATGAGCATAGGCGTAGCCCTTTAAGCGCCGGGCCTCACTGGCTCCTAAATGGCTGAAGAAAAAGCTATTTGGGAGCCGATTACTCGCTCTTAACGTAATTTATACGGACCGGGTGGGGCCCACACAACAGGTGGGCTAAACTTTTCAGTGTGATGCTTTGCATGTTGGGATAAACCCACCAGCGACAGCCTTAAAGGGCTATGCCTATACTCATAGAATCTGGGGTTACAGTACGTAACCAATGTTTTTTCACATTGTCATAATGAGTACATTGTGTATAGAATTTTGAGGAAAGAGAAATTTAATACAGTTTGGAATAAGGATGTAACAAATGTGGAAAAAGTGAAGCGCTGTGAATACCGGTACTTTCCGTATGAACTGTAATTTGTGACAGCTGAGACTAATGAATATAAGGAGCAGGTAATAAAATAAGGTCAAGAATAAGAAAATTACCAATGCTCACTGAGACACAGGAAAACGATACAAGGAAACAAAACAAAAAAACAGGAATGTATCAAAGTAAATGTATGCCTCACCAAAAGCAAAACTGAACAACCACAACCAAAAAAACATTGATTATGACAGAAATTAGAGACTGAAGGTTTCAGATTTGGGGCAGCACGGTGGCGTATCTGGTAGAGCTGCTGCCTCTCAGCGAGCAGGTCCTTGGTTCAAACCCCGGTCCAGAGGCCTTTCTGGGTGGAGTTTGCATGTTCTCTCCGTGCATGCGTGGGCTTTCTCCGGGTACTCCGGTCTCCTCCCACAGACCAAAAACATGCATGTTAGGCTGATTGGTAACTCTAAATTGTCCCTAGGTGTGAGTGAGAGAGTGAATGGTTGTTTGTCTCGTTTGTCTCTATGTGTCCCTGTGATGGACTTGCGACCCGTCCAGGGTGTACCCCACCCCTCGCACAGTGATTGCTAGACATGGGCACCAGCGACCCCCGTGACCCAAAATGGAATAAGCGGGTAAAGATAATGGATGGATGGGTTTCAGATTTGCCATTTATTAAAGTACAAAGTTATTTAATGTCTCAAAGTGCTGGAAAATATGTCAAAGAATACATCAACCACACGTATTGATCTATTTGAATAAAGATAAGATAGAACTTTATTGATCCCGCAGCAAATTGTTGTGCCAGAGTTTCAGTACAAAGGAACATACACAAGGAATCACACAAAATATGAAAAACAACATAGAATATAAAAAATGTAATAAAAAAAAACAACAACATCAGC